GCACAGTGTGTGTGTGTGTGTGTGTGTGTGTGTGTGTGTGTTGCTGATGGTGACTGCAGAGCCATCAAAACGCACAGCAGCAAGTAGCACTTTTGGTCGTTTTCCTTCTACATCCCTGCTTAAGAGAGGAATACACATGGAAAGGGAAAACTGCAGAGGAGAGAAAAAAAAAATGCATACCTTACAGTCTATTTCAAAGGTATGTGTTTTTCATTTGTAGGATGCATTACAAAAAAATCGTTATCTCTCTTTTCTCACGAGAGGGCGCCACCTCCCTTCTTTGGGGGGCTGCATTTACTCCACTCTGTACATGTGTTTTATTTTTATTTCTTGTTGTTCTCCCCTTTCTGTCGAGGACGCACATCTTCCCATATAAAAGGCTACGTGGAAAGCAAGTCATTGTATGCGACAGTTACTGATAGTTTGCAAAAGAAAGGAGAAAAAAAAAGGTACTACTTGTACAGCTTCAAACCCAATGAAGCGATCATTTAAAAAAAAAAGCACAAAGCCCCGTTCTCATATCAGCAATGTCAACGACACATTTCTCCTCACTCTACTGTTTGGAACACCCCAAAATAGAGAAAGATGGTTAAAAAGCAAAATACCCTTGAGATCAAATTTTCCCCTGCCCTGCTGCTTGTGTCCGCAGCCATTCATTTCTTTGAGACGCCTTACATATATTACACGTGAGGACTTCCATAAATGAGGGCGCTCCACGCCACTCTTCAAGCGGGGATCCAATGTACCCCAAGTGTCCTCCGCGAGGAAGTTCAAGAAAGGCGACAAGTTTGTTGGCGCTAACCAACTCTCTCATTTGTGTTATTGGTGGGTCACCCGTGACGGGGTCGTCACGAGCTATTACACAAAGAGTGGGTATCTTACACTGTCGAAGCGACGTCAGTGTGTTTACCGCGGCGTAATACTCTTCAGGGTTGGAGAAACCATTGTGGGGTGCTGTGATGTGGACGTCAAATTCATAGATGTTCCTCAAGTTTTTTAAGAACCGCAGCGTGTCCTTGCGAATGGCGTCGTCACTCACCCCCGGTAGTTGCTTGATCATTTCAATGTGACGAATGGCGTAGCGCACAAGACCTCCAGTCAGAGTTTTATGGTAAAGAGCATTTTTTGGCTTCATCATATTCGCCTGTGAGGCCAATGTATCCAATGGACTGTTAATAATAAGGGCTGCGTCAAACGGGAGCAGTTCTTTAGGCCCATTTTTTCCTTCTTCATCCAAGTACTTTGCCAAGACAACCCCACCCAGACTAAAGCCAACGCCCCATGTGTTTCCAACCGTTTTACCAAACCTTAACGAAAGTGCCCTTTTTGAAAGGGCTGTGCGCGTAACACATCGAACGTCCTCCGTCCATGCCGCAGACATGAGTCGGGGTTGTGTCAATGGGGTGTCACCCATTCCCCGTGTGTTGAACACGCAACAATGAAAGCCTTTGTCATGCGCATGTGATACATAATGTTGAACGTAGTTGGTCTGAGACCAAGAAGCAAGACCTGGAAAAATAATCATGATGCCGTTTGCTGGACCATGTTTTTCATCCACAAAAAGCCAGTCAAGGCAGATGGGATTGCCATCAGCACCGTCAACCACCTCTCGTGTGTATTTAATCGGTTTTGATGGGCGCAGGCTACAGAGCGCAGTACTTATATGCCCATTATATGGAGGAGCGGTGTAGTGGAAATCAGATATGCCCTCAAAATCCAAAAGAGCTCCAATCGTGGATTCATCAGCCAAAATATTAATCTGTTGTCCGGCCTCGTTCCAGCTCTCCTCACCCATGATTATTTTGACGATGCGATGGAGACGGGGGATATAAATATGGATGACATGTACAAAGGCGTGGATAATCCAAAACGAAACCCTTCCGACGACGGAAGACATTTTATGGATGCTGGAAAGAAGGGGGCTACAAAAAAAAAAGCGCACACAAATGAAAGGAAAAATTAGGGAGGACAGTGGCAATCGCATCACATACAACGAAAGGAGGGAAAAAGAGAGGCTAAAGAAAGAGAGACAAAAAAAAAAAAGAATCTTCTTCAAGCCAACAGAGTCAAAAAAAAGTCGTGTTTCGCTACCCTCCTTCTTTGGATGTGTGAAGGCCTATGCCTGTGTGCGTCTGGCGATTTCCCTCCCCTCCTCCTCCTCCTCTTCTCTCCACCATCTTCAATCACCGTTGTTCCCAGTCGTGTACAAAAGAGCATCACGTACCATTTTAAGTTCCTCAATGGTGCGAGCGTGATCCCCGGCATTGTGCCCCACGTCATCAGGGAGTGCGCTAGGTGACGATGCCTGCCCCATTTCAAGGCGCTCAATAATAGACGCCAAGATGCGGCCTTGTTGGTTCATGAGTTCAATTGGGGAGAGACTAACGGGGGATGCAACTTTTTCTTCCGCCGGTGGAGGCAACAAGACTCTAACAAATTCATGGGATTCTGGTGGAGTAAAGTAGCGGCCAATGCCACGCTTTTGCGGATCTACTCGTGTGATTGTCATTTCCAACAAACTTCCTACATCCTCCAGTGGTGGGTATTTCATTAGACGCTTAAGAGCGTCAATGTGACCCACCATGAGATCCTGCTTCACGTACAATAGCATGGACGCCGCAAGCATCGTAACGGTACTGTTTTTGAGACGATATTCACTTTGCCCCGCAAGAAAACGCTCTGATAGAAAGACGTCCCACAAGTCGGCGCATTGGGGGATGGAAAACTCTCGAAGAAAAAGAAGACGCAACCAACGTATTAAATACGACGTGGCCTCAATCTCATACACCACATTCATCTGCTGATGCAAAGCCGGGTCGAGTTCCGCCAATAATTCCTTCTGCGTCTTGTGTGATGCACCAACAATGCCATCAGATGCATTATCTTTGCCTGCGTAATACCACTCGGATAGATGCAGCCCGGAGGTATTCATAATGGCCTCGAACAGGAAAAAAGACATTGCCGTCACGCTCTCTAGGGGGCATATACCTTTAAAGGCACACACCAGTTCGAGATCAGTCTCCTCAGAGCTCTTTAAAAGCTCGTCCAGAAGTGTCGCGTCGGTGTGGGTCAGATACATAACAAATGCCGCAATCTCGTGCATCCCCTGCTTGTACCCACTGTCATGGCGGAGGCAGTAATTGACAAAAATATCCAGCAATGCATTTTTTGTAGTAGACTCCTCAAACAGCGGAAGCTCCCAGTGAAGTCGATCCAAATCCTTCTGTGCAGTGGAGCGTATCGTGTCTACGGCGTACTGCAGCGCGTAGGAACTTCCCTCAGGCGGAAGAAGTGGATTCTCAACGCCCATGTTCTCCTCATCCTCGTCGGAGAAGGAGGAGTCCGTTTCATTAAAATGACCCTTTTTCTCCGCGGGGTGCACCACAGACGCCGTGTCCACAAGACGCTGTCGAAGGTGCTCGTTCACTTCCTTCCATTCCCGCACCCCAGCACGGGTGCACTCCGCCCAGACCTGGCAGTAACTGCCGGCCTCCACGTTTGCCGGAAGAAGTCCCAGCAATAACCGCCAGCGAAGACTGTGAAAGACGCAAAGGCAACGATGACGCGCAAAGTTTAACACGTGTCGAAGCAGCACCTCTTCAAAGTGACCCCGCTGAACGCAGTGATGGATACTTCGCAGCTCCTCCATAACGACGATCACCACTAACCCGTCCCGATGCAGCCCTGAAGAAGATTGAGAGGGGGGGGGGGGGGGGGTCAACGCACAGAAAACAATAGAGGCAAGAAGAGAACAAATGGAATTAAAACGCATGCAGAAAAGCGTCTCGCTATAATGCTCCTTATGGCATCCCTGTCGACGTGACCGCAAAGGGTGGCCTTCAAGAAGCAAACACCCACAGATAATGTCACGAACGCATACAAGCACGCACACACATAAAAAAAAAAAAAAGCGGGGAGGAGGGGGGATACATAAAACTAAGTCCTGAAAGAAGGTTGGTAATCGCAATATTGCTTCTCAGGATGTACCCCCAGTGTGCCGTGCGTTTGCCTAAATGCAGAATGGAGTCATGAAAGTCATATCCGCCTACCAAAAGACATGAAGTCCCAAGGGTGAAGACATGATCAAAGAGATGCTCAAAATGGTTTTAAAGCACCGCACGGAAGTTGATAGAAACCGCGTCCTCATCCACCTCAGTGAGAAGAGGTGTGTGTCTGTGTGTGGCACACAAAAACTGTAAAGAGGTGGGGATGGTGTTTCAGTCGTTATTTCTTTACGATACTCAATCGTATCTCAAGCAGCACTATTGGCGCATCTAGAAAACTTGGTATCGCATCCACACTCACGTGAGACACTTGCATTCATCAAGTTCGCATCGTCGCACGTGTAGGACGCCCTCGTTGCTCCTTCTCCTGCAAGCAAAGGGGTGACCTCACTCTCGTCCCACTCTTCACTAACATATTGCTAGTGACACCGTGGGGTGCCTCGTAGACCACGGATTCTGGCTGCGGCGCCGCCGCCAAAGACCAACTCCTTGACGTAAATGCGGACCGCACTGGGTAGCCTCTCTCGAGAGCCATTGACTCTTGCAGCTGTTGCCTTCGCCGCTGTAAATAAAGTGCATTGCCGTAAAGCCGCTCAAACACAGTTACACCCTCCGCCCATCGAGCAAGCAGTGCCTCATGTGTGCGGTTAATTGCAGGCGTGAAGGTGCAGTTGTTGTCATCGCTGTCATCCTCATCCACACGAAGAGGCGCCTGGCAAGTGCACTTCCGCCGCCGTGACAAGACAAATAAACGTTCGTGGACGTCTTCGTGGGTGGTCACCCTGCGCGTGCCCTTCCCGCTCTGGCGGCTCCACTCACCGCTGCCACCAGCTGGCACACAGCACGACGAACAACACACCATCCCGCCTCATTTCCCCGCAAACAAAGAAACCAAAAAGCGGCGGCAATACAGTGAGAGAGAAATAGGGAGAGATGGACACAAACAATAATAATAGAGACACAGAGAAAAAAAAAAGAAAAAAAGAAAAGAAAAAAGAACAGAAAGCGGCTCAAAACCTCCAAAGAAATAAAGCGGTAGTACCATCCAAAGGAAGAAAAAAAATTACTCCCTCGTTGGTGTTTCACTCAGAGTGATACTCGTCCTCATCCACGTCAATTTCCTCGCATTGAGCCTCCTTCTCAATTGTCATGTCATGGTCATCCATAACTTCCCGCTGGGACACCATGGGCACCACATTACTGTTGCCGCTATATACGCCAAAAAACTTTTCATCCTCCTCAAGTTGTCTCAAATCTTCTCTAAAATCCTCCTGGCAACGCGAGAGCTCCCTCTCGCGGCTCTCAAGTGATTGATTCCACTCGGAGATAGTCTCATGTTTTTTTTCTAACACCCGTTTCCGCTCTTCAAGTTCGTTCTCGAGCGCTTTGAGCTCCCGCATCGCCTTCTCTAGGCTCTGCTCCGCGTTAAACTGTTGAAGCTCGCGTCGCTCCATCGCCCGCTCATCTCTCTCAAACCGATCGTGTCCCTCCGCGAGAAGCTCCAGCTCCTGCGCCTCCTCACGTAAGCGCTCATTTACCCACGCAAGCCGCTCTTCCAAGTTCTTTTCCTCCTTGTCCAGCACAGAACTTGCACGGCTAACCGCCTGTGAGAATTTTGTCTGGTCACACTGCAACGTCAGATGATTCTTTCGAGCAGCACTGATCTGTAGGCGGCACTGCTGGTGATCAATCTCAAGGCATCGCCGCTCGTCCGCAATGGTGCTCTGAATTTGATCGAGCAGCAAGACACGTTCGCGAATCGCAGCCTCCTCGTGCAGGTAGTACTTTTCTATTTCCTTTTCCAGAGAAAGGGAAACATCTAAAAGCTTCGTGTAATCACGCTCAATAGCAGTGGCGCTCTGCACTGCGCGGTGGTCCAGACTCATTGAGTCTCGCCAATTCACTCACCTGTGTGTGTGTGTGTGTGTGTGTGTGTGTGTGTGCTGCTGTTGGTGGTGGTGGCAGCAATTGTAGGGAGGAGCAAGAGAGGTATTGCCTGCACAGCAAAAATACAAAAAAAAGAGGAGGATTCGCATGTGAAACAGCGGCGGTGGCAGCAGCAGCGCTCTTCTTTCCGCTTCAAAGTTATTATTAGTGGTTGGAAGTGAACCGAACAAAAAGGTATAGAAAGGCATTCCGCCTCACCGCGCACACAGATCAGCAGCGAAGAGCTGCAAATGTAAAGGCGGGATTCATTGCCGCCTCCCGCAGTACATCCCTAACACGTTCATGAACTTCGCGTCCAGTGCGCAGTATGCGTTGGACTTCGTTTGTCATTCGCAACTCATCCGGCACTGTTGCAAGGGATGTAGGCATCAACGCGGAGAACGTGGACTCCGTCGACTGATGGCTCTCCTGACATGGCATGGTGTCGTCGTCATGTTTATTTGCAAAGGTCTCATTAAAAAGTGCCTCACCCTCGTCCAAGTAGTCGGCGATCACACAGAGCCTCCGCCGTAGCTCAAAGGCCATTGCTAAAGACACCTAAGCACAAGTCCCCCAGCACACACCCAGCGAAAATCACGAGACAATACACCCACTTCACGTACAACAAAAAAACAAGGAACCATATAAGGTGCAGACACACACACACACACAACAAAATAAAAGCACTTCACATGCACGAAAACGCAAGACCGCAATAAAAACAAAAATAAAACTCACCCATGCGTGTGCATATGCGCATACATACACGCAACTGTACGTATGTCACGACCAGCAGCAGCGGCAGCCATGTCTAACGACGTGTGGTGATGAGCCCCTCGTTAACTAGAAAAAAAAAAAAAAGTTATGGGCGCTTTATTTGTTTGTCTCCATTTCTCCGTTGCCTTTTTTTTTGTTTTGTTTTTAGTTTTTTTTAGTTTTTGAACGTGTATTTCCTTCGCCGTATTCCTTCAACACAAAAACAAACAAAGAAACAAGAGAAAATTTCCGCCGCGTCAGTCAACTTTCATTTGATGAAATCCAAGATCCTCATCCTGCTCGTAGGTCCGCACGTAGGACGTCTTGGTAAGCCGTGGGTCTTGGTTCTCCGGTGGTGCCAGATGCTCACGCGGGTTTTGCACGTAAATGTTCGCCAAAGGATCGTCAAGGATAAACGTAAAAGGCCGCTTCATCTGCAGCAGGTCATCGAGTTCCTTCACAAACTCCATTAACGTCTTCGACTCCCCATCTGTGTCGGCGGAGTCTCCCTTTGCAAACTCTGCCTGCGGCAGGTTGCGTAGCTGATCTCGCACCATCATGATGGTCCCCTCCACAGTGGAGAAAAAACCCCCCAACGTGCCGGGCGCCACCTCCAGCGCCACCTCTGGAATATTCAGCGTGGCAGTTTCAGACTTGAGAACATCCCGCTTCAGGTCGTCCTCCGCTTCAACACGCAGCTCAATCTTCAGACCCGTGTCAGAAACTTTTCCCCCCGACTTTACCTCATTACTTTTATAGCCGCAGAATTCACAACGAAATGCCATGATGACAGTTTCTTTAAAGTACGGAATGTCAATTTGTTGCATATTGATAAATCCCTGCTTCTTGCAGGCAGGGCACTCTGTTTCCATGCGCATCACATCGTCAAAGTGTCCCTCCTCCACCACACGCTCTTGCTCCTCGTCTCTCCGTGTGTTGTAGTCAACCGCCAGCCCCAATATCTGTCGTTCCACATCTGTCCGTTCCTTTTCGTAGTGCGTTAGCTGAGGGTCAATGGTGGGGTGATAGTAGTCATAGTAGGCCTCAACGTAGCTATTTCCGGCGGGATCATCAATGGTGAAGGTAAAGGGAATATCGCCAGTGCGGTACTCCCGTAGCCTTTGACAAAATTTCTCTAGTTTTTCATATAACTCCGGTTCCTGAATGCGACGCAGTGGCTGCTGTAGCTGAAGCCCAGTTTCGGTTTGCTCCAAAAACCCTTCAACAGTGTTAAGAATGCCTCGTTGCGACTCTGGCGGAATTTCCAAATCCAGCTGAGGAATTCGAACAGTCGCAAAATCTGACTTGACAACTTGGCGATCCAAATCTTTTTTCGTCTTTACTTCAAGTTCATAGCGAACCGCCTTGGGGCCAAAGGTGCCGCCAAACGACACCTCATTATTCCTCTCACCACAGTGCGGGCACTCAAAGCTACTCACGATAACTTCCTTAAAATGTGGCACATTTGTGATCATCAGACGTGTCGCGCCGTTTTCACCGCATTTAGGGCACATCGAGTCAACCGTATTCATTTCACCAACCTCCGTCTTGATATAATTAGACGCAACCGTGTCATCCGCCGTCTCCTCCTTCGAAAGCCCCGGCTGCTGCTGCTCCTGCTGCTGCTGCCGCTCCTCTGGCAATGTCGGCATTGCTAGAGCGATTCGAGGATCTCCTACAAGCACAGCACAAACCAAACAGAAATACAAAACAAAAGGTTCGACCGGCACAGCTCAAACACACAGACACACACACAGGCACATATTACAAATAAAAGAATAAAGAAAAAAAAAAAAAGAAACTGGCAGTGGCAGTACGTACACGGTCGCGCACATACCTGGATGTGATATAGTCTACATTCCCTTGTTTCTATTTTATTTTATTTCTCGGTGACACTCTCGGTTGGATGAGAAGACTAAAAGAGCGGACTGGCCGTCGTCGTTGAATTATTCAGTGAGCCCGTGATATTCTTCTTTTTTTTTTTTTGTATTCCTGTAAGACTTCTTGTATGGCTCTTACGCCAAGACGTTTAAATTTTCATAGCTGCATCTCAGAAGCATAACATTTGTGTACAACGCATAAAGTCATGCACACATTAACTCCTCTCTACAACTTCTCCTTTCTACCCAGTCAAAGTGTAGGTGCCGTTAATAACAGTCCGTGCAAGATACGGCGTGCACACTGCCCACATGCGGATGACATGAAGTTGTATGGAGTGGCATACTTCAGCCGTTTGGTGCTCACACAAGATACGGTGCACCGTCCCACCAGGGGTATCAAAATCCAGAGTGAAGTCATTCAACACAATCACATTCGTTATGAATGCCGTCAACGGCGTCAAAGTCAATCTGCAACCTCTTCCACATGAGATTGATCCCGGGAATGCTAAATGCGACGCCAGGACGCCGTCTGTGTGAGCCACCACAATTTGTGCCACGGCACCACCAAGGGTGGTGGCTCGTAAAAATAATATGTTGTGAGGTGACAGTGTACAAGTACTCCTCCACATGTAGGTGGTAGTAGTCATTCGCCAATTCCCCTACAAGGGGTAATCGAGCTTATCACGCTCGATGCTGCCACGTAGTCGGAAATGACGCTCTCCGGAATGAGACCACTCTGTGGGAGGAAGCTTGCCAACAGCTTGAAAATTAGTATCTCACTGAAAAGCAGCAGATTCTGCATGAAATCAAACGGTGAAGTGATATCGGTCCCTCGCACAGCAATCACGGAGGTGTTTTTGCACGGCAAGTAAAGGTGACGGAACACAGCACGGTCATATGTGTGGCTTGTGGGAACCGCCACCCAGTCCGATCCACCATCGCGGAAGCGCCGGTAAAAATTAGGCGTTGTGAGAAAATCCGCTGAGTATTGAGGCAAGTAGGCCATGAGTGAGGAGTACGCAAGGTGCGCGGCGTACAGACTGTCAGCCCACAGGTTCGAGCAGAGTCCGGAGTGGCGAGTCCCGCCATACTTTGCCTCATTTGCCTCGTGCACCAACTTTTTGAGGTCCTCGTGGGGAGGCAGACCGTGGATGTCAGCGACCATGTGGCGTGCCGTCACACGGATCCGCTTTCCCCTGCTGTTGCCTTCGCATCGGGTTGGCGCGACGCCCTCAAAACCGGGGCGCTTCACACTCACCAAGAGAGCGAGTCCGAGGACGAGCGCAACAACCGACGCCAAAGATAACCGATAAAAGGCGCGCAGCAACACACCCGGACGGTAGAAACGGTCTCGTTGTGCCCATCTGTCACCATGGCAGGAATACTTAGGGTCTCCGGTGTTGTTTGGCGTCGTGGAGGCCATCGTGGAAGAAACAAGTTCCGCTTCCCCGCCGCACTACCCGGGGTAACCCTCCTGCGGCCGTCGACCATCATCCAACCCGCGCCACCGCCCAACAACAAGGCCGAAAATGCCGCAAACACACAGCACCCGCACAAGCAGAAGTGTCGGAGAGAGAAAATCCACGGAGGAAACTACTACAGAGGTCAGAAACAACACGTAACAAGCAAGTCCGATCCGCCGTCTCAGCACCCGCGCCGCTGCCGCTGTGTAGATTGCAAGTTTGTAAAAGAACACCGTTGGCCGGCTTCCCAGCAGCAAGACAACATAAAGCGTGTTGACATACAGCACTCCCTCGCAGAAACGTGCAACACCACGGCCGTAGCCCTTTACCCAGGAGATGTACGTACAGTACAGCGCAAGCACATGCAACTAGGAATGCCGTAAGCGTGGCGCCGCCTTACGCCACCATCGCGTCATGGCAGACCCCAAGGAATCACGCACGTTGCAATAATGGCTCCGGATAAGCGCCACCACTAACAGAGACATTGTGGCAACAAAAAGGAAAACAAAAAAAAACATTGTTGCCTTCATGTTCCCAATGTATAAGTGAATGGCTGTGAAGGATGCCTATTATAAACCCAGTGACACAACACACCAAAAGTAACATAAACAACCTCGCGTAGGGTATAACGCAATCAACGACTGGTATCCTTGAAACAGGCAATGAAAACCGGCTCTGCACTGAACTGCCTCATTATAGGTCAGCAGACAGGAGTCAATCAAGGCATCTGTAGCAATAGCCGCCAGCCTGTAACCAATCACAGCTATCCCGAGAAGGATGCAGCTATGTGATAGAACAAACTCAACGCCCAAACCACGTCATGACTACAAGGAATCTCCTTCCCATCCTGCCACGTATGCATGCCCCAATGATACTCCTCTCGTAGCATTGAAAAGACAAACTGAAAAAAGAGGTGTAAAATACAGTTCACTAGGATGGCCAAGATAGACGTCAGTAAAGGAGCATATTTATAGGTTGCAATCCACACAACAAAACCGTTTGAGATGAACGTGCTCCAAAAGAAGGAAAAAAACTCATCGCTGCCGGACGAAGCATCGCCATGAGCCAACACGTTTCTTCACCTAACTCCCTTGATATGCGTTGCAGAGAGAAATAAAAGAATCCCTGGACATGCGATGACTGCGTCAGTCTTTTAAAACATGGCATCACCACGTCTCGCCCGCCTGTGTCATGCATACAAGTATGTGTGGGTGTGTGGGTGTATGCACCCATAAAATGGGTGGGTTCATCACAAGAAAAAAAAGAAAAAAAATGTTTCAAACGGGTGGAAGTACGTACCTACACGAAGAGGTACACGGATGCGAGGATGCAGGCACTGGATGGGCCACTTGAAAAGAGGTAGGAAGGGCCATCCAGCTAACTCCTCATCACCGTAACTAAAAATAAGCAAAACAGGTAAATATTTAACCTTTACAACATATTTTATTTTTGTTGCATCCCCCTCCAACGCCATGACACTTCAAAGTTTGATTGCGTGGTCGAAGCGCCTCCACGAAAAAAAATGAGAAAACGTAAGGAACTGGGCAAACACACACACACACACACAAACGAAACAAATCGACGCAAACCACAGGGAGGAAAGGGGGGGGAAAAAAAAGAAGACAGAAAGTATTATCCACACGTACACACACTCCACTTGGAGGTATATAAAGCATGCATCCACAGATATAAGGTGTGATGCATGTCATAAATGAGTTCCACAAACAAGCGGGTCTCGCCAATACGAGGCGGTAGTCATTTCACATTCTCTCACACCACCTGAGTTCCCGCAGCAAGGCATCCTATACTTCCTGTTCATCCAAATTTACATTCCCCCCGCTCGTCGTCGTCCCGTTGAGAATTTCCTCCAGAGAATCATCCCCACCGGCTGCATTCTCTTCTTGTTCCGCAAACGACATCTCCGAGCACTCCTGCCGCAGCGTGGTCATCAAGCGCTGCATAGCCTCTGCCAGATCGTCGTGGCCCTGGTCGTTTGGCGCAAGCTGCAAAACGTTCGGAGTGGCATTTGCCGATGTAGCCATCGCCGCCGCTTCAAGTGCATCACGGTAGCTGGCAAGAAACCCCCGCATCCGTACTGCCGCCTTGGCACGCTCCTCAGTGATCTTCTTTTGTAGCGAGGAACGTTTTAAAGCGTTGGCCCGCATTCGCTCCTGAGCGGCATCAATTGCGGCGGTGTATTCAGCTATCGACGCCGTCAAACGCCGTATCTCGTCCGCTTTGAGCTGAGCTTCCTTGAATCGCAATGCTGTCGCCGCACTCTTCTTCACCGCCTCCAGGAGCGGGATGTTGTTTCGCATCTCCGCCAGCTGCGCCCCTAGCGACGCGACCAGCGCCTCGCACGTCACGTCATCCGCATTGAGCGTAGACAGTTGCTTCTGCAATCTGCTCACATGCAAGAGAGGCCACTCCTCCTCCTCCTCCTCTCCCTCTTCCTCTTCCTCTTCTTCCTGTGGCTCCCCCGCCTCGGCCCCGGACAATGTCAATGAGGGCGCGGCAAACAAAACGCCACGGCCAGCATTCCGCAGTTGCAGGAGTTCCACCACGGCGTTGGTATACTTCTGCAAATCTAAAAGGGTCACTGTCTCGAGCAGCCTCCGTCGCTGCTCGTAGCCCTCAATTCTCATCACATCATTCTCAAGCTCCGATAGCATCGACTCCCGCTTGGTGTCAAACGCCTCCTCCTCCACCCGAAGCACGTCGCTCTCCTTCTGCAGTTGCTCCATGTCGGCGGTAACCCCACGTATTCGTTTCTCCTCCTCGTTGAAAAAGTTGTCAATGTCACGCTCCATCGATTCCTGCTCAGCCCCCATGCGCGCCAAGGTTGATGTCACATCCTCCAGCTCCGCCATCTTTTCCGCACTTTTCTGACGCAGTGTGGCAAGTTTTGCCTCAAGCACGGCAATCTCGGCGTCAACCTCCATCTTTTCTTGCGAAATCCGCCCCTGCAGTGTCTGCAGCTCTTCGCTTTGCCGCAACATTTTCTCCCTTAGCGTTGTCTTTCGCTCCCTGAGACTACTTTGCTCCCGCCTCGCGCTTTCCTCCAGACGCCTCGCCCGCTCAAAGGCGGCGCCCAGCTGCTCCTTCCGAGTCTCCAGGCTTTCTTTCACGTCTTTAATAAATTTCTTCACACGCCGATCTGCATCGTCTTTGGAATCCATGAGCTCCTGTCGATGTCGCTGCAACAGCTGCGCAAGAGACTGTACCACCTTCACCGTCGCATCACACTGTTGGTTTAGGGATGTTAGCAGCCGCACAGGCGCCCCGTCGAGCTCCGCCACCCGTGAACTAAGCTGCTCTAGCTCGTCGCTAAGCAAGGCCGCCTCCTCAAACGCCTCCTGCGCCACACACTGTTCAATACGGTTCTCAATTTTGCTCACTGTCGCCATACAATCACGACGCCGCTCAATGGACGAGCGGATCTCATCCAGCACAAGTGAGAGTTTCGTCCGGGCCAGCAGAACATCACCTTGCAAGTCCTGAACTTCACGCCGTTGACGATCCCAAATTGTCTCAGGCTCGCTCTCCGCGTCGCTGCTAGCAACTTTGTTGCGGCTACTATTACTGCCCCTACTGCCCTTGCTGTCTCTGCTGCGAGAGGACTTGTCATTCTCCTCCACTACGGTGCCGTCTTCCATGTTGTTGTTATCTTTGTTCAACTCCAAGAAATTTCGACACACATGCGGTGTTGCTTCTGCTTCTGCCTTCATGCCTTCTGCATCTCTTACTACTGCTTCGTCGTTCCCTTCAGCAATGGACTCAGGTACCAGATTGAGAGCCGCAACAGCAGCAGATGGCACAAAGTAAGCACTTGAGGCTGTTCCTGCCTTTCTTGACACAATAAAGTCAAATGCAGGTTTGACGTCGTCCACCACTTCCTGAAGCGTACAATCCCCGTTCCTTGACATTTGCCGCGAGTTCAAGTCCGCAGCGTCCTTACTATGCATGTAAGAAGAGCCAACGACCGAAGATTGTGTCTTTGCAGCAACACCCTCTCGTTTGTCACAGCGCTGCTTCTTCAATCCGCTAGAAATAAAATCAAACGCCGACTCTGTCTCGCTCGCACTGCCTGGAGGAAGCACTTTCTCCCCTGTCGGAAGGGCACTCGCCTTCAATTCTGTAGGCTCCGGGCCATAGTTTGAGACGAGCTGCATGAACAGTTCCTCCTCCCTTCCCACAAAAGCCTTTATGGTGTTCTCCACCTGGGACAACTTTGACGGATCGTAAACCTCAAAAAAACGTTCCAGCCGGTGGCGCATTTGCGTGACTTGCGGTGTCTCCACCTCGTCCTGCACGGTACTCGAAGGCATTTCAAAGCGCATAAAAAATGGGCTCGACTCCGCCGCGGATGCCACGGGTGAAGCATATTTTTTAAGCTGCACAGAAACGGAGGAGTTACCGCGAGGCGTGTGTGACCCTGCCGTACTTGCTGCCGATCTCTTGTGGCGTGTGCGCACAACTTTCATCCCACCAAAAAAATCCTCAGCAGCCGCCGGTGCTGCAGAGGATTCTGAACCGCCGCGGCCGTCGTTAGCGTGACTCAAAGCAAACGACTGCTCTTCTCGTGAGGCATCAGTCCACCACTTCTTCATTGGTGCACGCTATACATAAACCTATATATATATATATATATATATGTAGGTTTATTTTCGTTACGCGTCTCTTGTGTCGTGTTTACTACCGCAGTAGACGTGTCTCTCTGTATGCGCTTTTTCCTTCGCCTCTTCTTCCTCCTCCCCCGCAACTGACGGCCCTTAGATTGTGGAAAAAGACAAGAATGTGAGGAGACGAAAGGAACGGTACAATGATTCCCATGTAGCCCATCCGAAATTTGTTAACGCCATCAGAGGATATGTACCCCTCGATGGACTGCAGTTATAATTCACACCGTCATTTGATACTATTCGCATATATGCCTGACTCTCTTTTTCTCTTGCAGAATAGCATCCAGCGAGGCCCCAGCCATGTATAATTACCTCCGGGCCTATTCAAATCTCCACAGAGGGGGAAAATTCTCACTTGTACAGTAGGTCGTAGTGCCCCGGGCGGTACAACAGCGTCAGCACAACACATGTGGCGTCGTTGGCGTCACTAGAGGCACCAGCAAAGGAGTGACGCGTAGTGCGCGTACCCACGCTGCCGTCCAAGTACTCCACAACGATGCACACATTGAAGCACTTGGCGAACGCCACCACCTGCATGTGATCGCTTTCGCTTGAAACCGCATCAATTTCGGCACGACAAAAGTCATCAACGTTTTCGTAGTTAAGGCCCATCACAAACGGAAGAAAGTCATCTTTATGGCTGCGTATGTAATTGGAAACAGCGTAGCGATAAAAGTAAAGCGCGTACTCAAAGTCACGTGAGTTCGTCATCGCATACAGCTCCTCTGATGTCGTACAGATTCCTGCTTCGATTTTGGCAATGGCGGAAATCGCCGCATCGCAGAAGTCCTCCACAAACTCACCATAATCCTTCAGTAGCCTCGTGTGAAGATCCTTAGCCTGTTCCACGTACTTCGCCGCAAGCGCTCTATCGCGGAGCAACGCCTCCAGGAGGCCGAAGACAGCACAACGGAAGAAGCAGTTCCCATCACGTCGGGCGTACCGAATGCCGCTGTAGCGGTCGTCATTGTCCGGTGCAAATAGTGAAAGAACTTTTGGGAAGATCAAGGAATTGTTGGCAAAGTCCTTAACAAGGCTACACGTTTCCGACAACACCTCCACGGGGTCAGTAAGAAGCGGTGAGGCCTCAATTTCGCTCTGAATAATCGCCATCTGCACCTCCCGGTCATGACTGGTGGACGTCATGACGCGTTGAGAAGAAACTCAAAAAAAAAAAAAAACAGGGCGGACGCACACGAAAAAAAAAAAAACAAAGCTAGCTAGCAAACAACGGATGGAAAGCTGCACACGAGGGGCAAGGAACAATGCTTTGGCTTTGCGGTCTCCCTAATTTGTACAGCCAAAGATAATAGTGCTAGAGAGAGCAGACTAAGAGAAATGAAAATAAAAGGAGAATTACGCGCAGAAGTGTGGAGAAAAACTGGCAAACTTGAAGAAGAAAGAAACGAGCAGGAAGTAAGCAAGCAGAGCCCATACATATATGTTATGTGTATATATATATATATGTCCCCCGCCCGAATACGGCCTTTTCCCTCAAATTCCTAAAAAGGAAAAAAGAGAGGGAGAAAGCGATACCCACAACGGAAAAGTATGGTCTGGTTCGACGCACCTTGCACTCTCCACGGCGGCGGAGTTATTTTCCTTCTCCCTCTTTGCCCAAAGCCCACACAAGCAAACACAAAAACGCATTCAGGTAAACAATTTCAAAAGTCGGATGCCCACGATGACAGAAGACTAGCTTGGAGCTACCAAAGCGGCGGCCTGTGGGGCCCCGCCACCGCCAGACGCCCCTTCCGCGTGAAGCGCATCCGCAGCGGATGTTACGGCGGGAAGACAGAACTACACTCGCGCTGCCTTCCAACGCGGTGTCTTTGCGAAGCAAAACCATGTAAAAATTAAAAACAACAGCAGAGTTCACCTGGACGTGTCATCAACTATTGCCCCCACTCCACCCCCTCAGCCGAGCGCACATTCATTTCCAGAGGCCCTGTAAAAAAGATGAAAAGAAACGCGGCCCCCCACATACTTTTGTTGGCTATCACCCCATCTCAAAAAAAAAAAAATCTATACACCCATTAAGGTAAGAATCAAGAAATAGAAATGATTCTCTGCAAGCTCAGCTAAGTCCCCAATGTGGTCTCTTTGTAATGGTGCTTACTAGAAAGTTCAATCCCTACCTTGGAGAGCTCCAGCGAGTTGGCGCAGCAGAACCCACGTGACATAAGATCAAGGGACTGTGCGTTGTCGATATTGTGAACCACACCACCTGCCTCACGAACAATGATGGTAGCAGCAGCGATGTCCCAAGCATATGTGCCCACCTCGAAGTACAGTTCCGCCCTACCGCCAGCAACAAAGCACATGTCAAGTGCTGCTGAACCGTAATTTCGGACTCCACGAACAGGAATGCTGGCAAGCTCCTTTTGCATGGAAATATAACTCTTCACCGCAGGCTCAGTACGGTTAACAGCCATGTGCAAGAGAACAACAGATTCTTGAAGTGTGCGTGTCTCTGAAACGTGAATACGTTGTCCGTTGCAATACGCCCCACGGCCCTGGGCAGCCGAGTAAACCTCGTGAAGCCGCGGCGCACTAACAACACCGAGGATCGGCTCTTTATCAACAACCAGAGCAATGGACACACTACAGTCAAAGAGACCGTGAATAAAACTTGTGGTGCCATCTATAGGGTCCACGATCCACGTGGGTTTATCGCTGAGCTCCACGCTGGCGTGAGTTTCCTCGCTGAGTATATCGTAATACGGCGTCCCGGCACGAAGAATTGCTATAACCTCCTCCTCACACTGTTTGTCGTACTGCGTCACGAGATCCACCGAACTCGCCTTACTGGTGATGTCCAAAAGTGCACTTTCCCGCTCTGACATCGCCCTCTCAATGATAAAGGCTGCGAAATGAGCAGCGCGCAACGCCAATTCCACGGCGTCGTCAAGTTCTGCGTCACTGATAGGCATCGTAGACCCCGTGCTTTCCTCTTCCCCCTCCCCTTTTCCGTTCCTTGGTTACCTGCTGGCTCCTGCTATTCGCCCACGACGAGATACTGCCTGTATGTAAGCTACACACACCTACCCAAGTCTGCTCCTCCTTCTGCAGTCACTACTAGCGTACTTCGCTCCCCTGAGATGAATGAATCCCACCACTGGACCTCCCTCCCACCCTCCCCCCCCCCCCCACACACACACACGCACAAGAAAAAAAAAGGAAATAAAAACAATTGGCACATAGAGACAGGCACAAACACACGAAGAGAAAGAAAAGAGGAAAACAATAAGTGAGAACTGTGTGTCTTCAGTAATAAAACGATGATGTAGAGGGTGTCATATATATATATATATATATATATATATATTCTTCTTGTTTTGTTTTGTTTTGCGCATGGACACACACACACACATACGGCATGTGAAGCGTAGGCATTCGTCGCGCCAGCAAAAAAAACAACAACAACAAAAAAACACAATCGGCTAGTAGTATACGTCGTACTTTGCACTCAAGAGGGAAAATGACAATGGCACACACTGACGAAAAATACCCTATTCGCGACTGTTGTTGCACTGTACATGATGTAGGTGAAGAAGAAACATGCAAACAGAGAACAACTCCATTAAATCTCACAAATTCCTCAATGGAGTGCACCCAGTCGGTGCAGCTTGTGGCAACAAAAACGATTGCCGTACCTTGAAGGCACGATAAAATCGAAGAATGCGTTCAGCGCTTTCTGCCAAAAGTAATTGCTCACGAGCGGCGTCACGGTCTGCACGTGCCTGACGCATGATGCACAAGCAGCGGTACCAACGCTGAACCCACGCCGCAGCCTCTTCTTTACTATACTCCAGCACCATAGGCTCATTGCTGCTTCCGTTCTCTGAGACCTCCATTTCTTCGTCCCTTGCCGCCGCCTCTACACTCCGTCGCCAGGCCCGCTGGACAACTGTGGCCGCATCAACACGGCGAAGCTGCTGCAAGAGCGCGTCCCTCTTTTCTCGTTGCTGCTGCGCCAACTCACGCCCTAGTGTACCACGAAAATGACGCTGCGTCCATAGTACGAGTCGTAGTAGTGACTGTTTCTGTCGATACAGGGCCAATCGCACAAATAACCCACGCGTGACGCGTTGCAGCACTTCCGCTTGTGGGCGGAACCGCAAGATGCGTTCCCGGCGTCGAAGGATCACTTGCTTCAGGAAGCGACACAACGTTTGTGCGGCAAACCGCTCCGTCAACTGTTCAATTTCTTTTCGCCTTGCCGCGCGGAGTTGACGCAATCGCGTCCGAGCAGCAGACAACCGCACAAGCCTTTGAATAACAAGAACTGCCTTCCTCTGCCGGTCTATCCTCGCACGTGTTGTGGACCCTCTCCACGCGGCCTGCAGAGCGACTGCCGCCGCCTGAAAACGGGCAAGGCGTTGCTGCTCAAAAACTTCTGGAAACCGAATTATCTTCGCCAACCTCCTGCCACAGTAACCACGGTGAACGCGCTGTATAGTGAGAGCCGCGTACTCTTTAATTTCGCATTCGCTATCCATTTCAGCCTTCTTACGTGCCCGTCGTGCCAATGCTTTGGCCTGTAACTTCGCAACAACAAAATTCAATGATCGCCACGTGGTGTTGAAGTTATCCCCAGTCCTATTTAACTCATCCGTCATCACGCGCAGAGCGGTGTCCCAGGCCCGCGTGCTCTCCTCCTCCACTCGCCGAGCCTCCAGGAAGGCGATACGTCGCGTGTATCGTCGCCGTGCCGCACGTAGCCTGGCTCGGTAACAGCGGTACGCACACTGAATGCGCAGAGCAGCATTCTCATGGCGGTGTGTATGATGTTTCCATTTCCCCTCCATCCACGTCTGAAGCTCATTGTTTTGCCGATAGTCGCTGATGATTTCTGCCGCTGGAACCGGTACCGGCGCCAAGGAGCTCATCGGTCCAAGTTTGGAAGGCACCACACCCTTGGAAAACACATCCCACTGAATACGTTGTACAGCGCGTTCCTGCAACAACTCCATGGGCACTGCACGTGCCTCATTTTCACTCGGAGACGCTGACATTAGGGACGAGGGTGTATCACCCCGTGTATTTTCAAGAAGCCCATCAAATTCTGCTTGCCATCTTTGTCTCGTCGAGGTGAGTGACAATTTCCATGTATTCGCCCGCTCCTTGTCTCGAAACAAAAGCTCTTGATGCATCTCGTCTGGGGTAATGTTCAAACGTTCGCGAGACCAGAGATAAAGCAAGACATCATCCTTGTCTTGGCTTACGGAAGGGGATATCGGCGGCACAGAATCGCTAATGAAGGCCCTACTCACAGTTGGGTCCCCAGATTTCCTTGATAGCTGCTCCTTTACGGAAGGGATACTCTCTACGGTTTCCATAAAGCTATTGTGGGCGTTATGTCGCACGGCCTTCGACGAGAATGCGCCCAGTGCTTTGTCCACGGCATCCCAGGCGCCGCCGCCGCCTAGACCGGCTTTTGGCATCAACGTCTTGTAGACACCACCCTCAACAAATGAGGGATGAAAAGTATGGTACGTCTTCATTTGCTCAGCAAAGCGCTCCAAAATGGCTTGCGCTTTTTCATTCGCATGCAGAAGATACCGTGTGACATCTTGGCTCGGATATGCATGCGTTACGCTCATCGTTGTTACGGAGTCACTGTGTAAGCGAAAAGTTCCAGTGTGTCGCACATAAGAGCCCCTGTTGTAGGCGGTGCGGGAGAAGTCAACGCGGTGTCCATTGAAGCTGTTGCGAATCCTACCGCCAAGGGATGTGTGTGGCCGGTTGTACTGCATCCCTGATGGCACCGAAAGCGTCGACGTCGCCATCATCGGCTGTAGTTTGTCCTCCGTGTACATGCAGTCTCCCCCGCGCGTGACGATGGAGAAGAAGAAAAGTTGGTACTGGTGGAAAACACACGATTTGCGATATTCAACTAACCCGCACGGAAGTGCACGAAAGTGAGTGTGTGGCTTTAGAAGGAGAACACGCATGAGGAGGGGGGGGGAGAGAGAAACAAGAGAAAATTCAACTTGTTAAAAGTTCGACAGGAAGACACACACACACTCACAGTGAGAGACGAGTGTGATGCGGAATGCCCCGCCTGGCAAGCAAAACTCTGCACCCGCCCCACTTGCTGCCTCCTGTAGTCCCCTCCACGCAGGCACACAACAACATATATGTATAAAAGCAAATCGGCAAAATCAAGACTCACTCCTTCTTCCCTGCTTAGTCAGCCACTGCTTATACGACTCACGTGATTCCCAGGGCAACGAATCAACGTCAACGTCCCCGCGCCGCCTTCTAAGTACCTCCTCCATTGAAGCCGCGTCACAGCCCCCCCACTTGGACGCCTTTGTGTAGAGCACAAGGTCATCCACGCATTGCTTCAGCGTTGGCTCGCAGAAGCCAATAATGCGGGTATTAATGGCCCGCTTTGTGCAGTGCATGTATTCCCAGAGCGCGCTAGACAAGCTCGGTGGCTCAGTGTTTAGACGCTCCTCACGCGGCGCAAAGAACGGCGAGACACCCACCATCTTGGGGCTTAAGAAACTGCATGATAATTCCACGAAGGACCAAGCCGGCATTGATCCTTTGCAAACAGCATCAAAAAAGAAGAAGAAAGCAAAGATAAGAAAAAAACAAATTGTTAATGTGTTGATACGACAATACACAACTCCATTTGTTATCGTTGTTGTTCTTGTTTTTACTGTTCTTTTATCGCAATGCAAGAAATGGTGATGGTGCTGCAGGGGGGGTTAAAAAAAGGAAAAAATAATTCCATTTTTCTTCTTCTGAGATGTGGGCAAAATAAAAGTCACACAACTAACGCCTGTTTAATACCCCCCGCACCCTTTTGCCACGCTGCGTCTGTGCCTTTACTCGTTTCTTTTCTTCTTCTTTTTCCTCTCCTCTCTCTCTCTCTCTCTCTCTTCT